CATGTTTGGACCCCGTGACATAAAACTAGAGAATAAGTTGTATCAGTGTGCCTCAGTGACAGGTTGCAGGTGTGTCACACTGACTTTTAAGGTACAAAGCAGCAGTATGGAGCAGTGTTAGTCCTTGCGGGGCCTGACTGCGCAGCAGGACCCCAAGGCTACGTTCTAGGCAAAGACTTCACTGCTTGTTGCTCAACACAGACATGTCAGCCTTTGCTGAAGTCACACACACATCTCAGTGTGTTAGGTATGTGTGTAGGTGGATATTGAAATGTGCACGTTGTTGTGCATGCATCTACATTATGAAAGCAGGTGTGGGCTTTAGAGTGGATGTTTCTGTGGACACTTTAATCCTTGTGTTTTTAGTGTGAAATGTAAGCACCACTTTAAATTGGTAATTGACAGGTTCTTTGTTTTCTGCAACATTTTTCTGGTTTTAAGGATGTTCCTGCACCACGTTTCCCACAAATCACTTGTCTATCCAACATTGAATAAGTATTGTTTTATAGTAAGTATTTTCCCCCCACTGTAAATTACCATTCTAAGGTTCTATTTTAACAATGTTGAACTTGTAATGTCCTCTAGTGACAACCAGCGGTGCTTCTTTTGATTCCCTTGTGAAAAAGAAGCACAGAGTTGTTGTATTCTCAACGCCACGGAAAAGAACTTCAAATAAAATGGAGCAAAAAGCTGATTGTCATGGTCACCAATTTCCCAATTCTTCAAATACATAACAAGCTACTTGCAACGAAACACATTGCTAGGGAAATTAACTGAAACTTCGTTATGTGCCTGTATAGTGGCAACAGGGAAAAATAACTGCCCAATCTGGGCTGAGGATGTAAATTATAAGAGGCAAATTATGAGGCATCATCTGCCGTTGCTGTGGAAAAGAAGCTGGTCAGAGATGCTAGTCAGGGCTGTATAAAATGCGGAACGCTTTGTTGTTGAAATTGGGAACAAAACACCACACAACAGCGGCTGAACACATCTAATATACAACCAAAATCCGTAAGTGAATGTATGTATTATCAGATCTCTTCAAAGAGTAATCTTTAGCTTAACTCAACAGACTTTTAAGCTCCGTAATTGGATGTTTCTTACTGAAATGCACCATGGGAGTTGTACTTGACTTCTCTCCTGAAGTTTTTATGAGCACAGACTTTTTAAAAAAACTTTTTATCAAAGAACAAGCAAAGAATAGATATTTTATAACACTTGATTTTTTTTAATGCTTACTCAGCTTATTCAGAGTTTTATGTCCACCCAAGCCTTTGAATTGCTCCAGCTGTCATCACCTTTGCAGAAAATGTTGCTTCTGAAACCTTTACACCCGGAAGAACTCCTCCCACACCGCTACTTGCTACTAGAGCGAGATGAAAAGTAGCAAATCAGAAAATGAAAACGTGACTTTATTGCTTGATCTTGGATGGACAAATCTTACAGCTGTGAAGGGCATTGCCATCGTCCCGTCCTGTTTGGCTGTTGGGCTGTTTGTCAAATATGTGCACCAGCTTGAATCAGTGGCAATCAGGCAGACGTGATGCGAACGGATCTGTGGGAGCATCTGCTAGCACAGCGGGCAGCGATATGTGATAAACGCTGATTTCACCCTCCATTGGATCGAGCTGGCGATGATAGCCACCTCTCCCCCGCTCATCCATCCTATTAAACCCTCATTATTCATTTACCTCCAGCCTCAACCGCCTGACATGCATGGAATGAGCCCAACAAACACACACACACACTCGAGCAAAAGTGAATTGTGCTCATATTTTGCCTCCTATTTCATCTAAGGCGGTCAAGGACACACACCGCTATCTCATACTGGCAGTTTTTATTTATTTAAAAAATAATTTGGACCAAAATACGCAATTTTGTTGTATACACACACACAGGCCCACGCACTCAGACACACACAGTTTCTCTGTGTATAGTACAGCAGTGTGCTGGCAAGGAGCTTAATTCTATCAGGCTGCGAGCTGGACAGCCGTAATTACATTTGTGACACAAATCCTGCCTCTCAAATTGAGCGTTTTATTCCTGAGCGCTCCCCCCTCTCTATTTATAACCCCTTATTCCCCATAAATCCCACTTCCTCACAGAAAGTCAATTTAGGACTTAAAAGGCAGCAACGCTCCGCTTACTTTTCCCCCTCCTTCGACTCTATCGCCGCTTCAGTTTCACTTCCTCTTTTCCCCCGCTCTACTTTGGAGTTTTGAAGCCTCTGAAATGACAAAAAAAAAAAAAAAGCATCTTAAGCAGTCAGTGCCATGATGCAGGAAAGTCATCCCTACAAGAAAGTTTCAGAAAGGAAAAAAAAAAGACGCTGCTTGCAACCTGCCTGTAACTTCTTTGAAGAGTGCTTGTCACTCTTTCATTGTGATACAAAACTGGGATGGGTTGGTGTGCAGATTTGTTTCCCCTTCACCACTCTCGGTCACCTGTCCTTCAATTTCTCACACAGCGTGTAGGGAAAGTACCACTTTGGCATGACATTTACTCTCTTTTCTCCTTTGTCTCATTTTTTCCTCCATTTTTCAGCTCTACTTTTCCTCAAATCTTCCCTTCTCCCAGTGCCACCTCCCCTGCTCGCCGATCCACTGCTGAATCAGCTGTGGCCTTCATCGCTTTCCTGCTTCTCCGTCTCCCCTTTCTTCCTCTCTCGAGTTGGAGGCCATACCTGAGTACAGTATGATGGCAGTTCATTTATTCCCCTTTTGCTTTTGCTTATGCATGAGCTTGTCAGTTCCCATAGTGCTGCTCCTCACCTTTCCCTGTCCTACCCCACCTCATTCATCGTTTCTTTCCCCCCTCCTTTATGTTTCTCCTATAGGACTCCAACTTTTGTCAACCCTATTTTACCCCTCTCTCCTGTGCTCCTGTCTAACTCTCTCTCTCTACATTTCATCTTAATAAAGTAGCTTTCTATTTCTGGCTTTTAACCTTTTATGAGCTTCATTCCAATAGGCTATATCTATTAGGGAGTTTGAGCCGATGCTGATTGCTCGGATTAAAATTTGGTCAATGATCAATTTCTGTATATTATTATACATTTAAAAATATATTCATTTAACCATTTATTCCATGTAACCATTAAAAGTCCATAATGCTGGTCTGTATCCACATCTTTAGATTGTTTTCTTTAATCTTTTCTTTAAGCATATTTTTAACCCCATGCCAATCTTTGTGGGGGTTTTTCTTACAGTGCTAATTGATAGTTTCAGTGCTTTCCCCCCATCTGTTTATTGATTTAAAGGCATAATAAGCAGTAACAAGATAAAGGATTTTATTTGAAATTCAGCCGCCGATACAGTCAAAGACCAAACAAAACACAAGACACACAATTGTCTTTATCAGTATGGTGGCATACAGTCCTGTTTCAGCGTTGAAAAGTTGAAATTGTTTTTGACCCGTAAGCCATGGTAAGTAGGTGCCTAGCAGGCGAAGTCAGAAAAGCAGTAAAATTTCATTCCTAAGTTGTGCTGGAAGAGTGGCAAATACTGTAATGAGAGCATTGATAGTGTTTAGAAAATAGTTTTCAAGGGATGGGTTTAAATTAAACATGTGTGAAAGATTTCTCAAAGTGATTGGCATGTTACAATTTGGGGAAATGCTGCCATAAATTTTGGACATCTTTCATCCTTGGGCCAGTCGACGCATTGCACAACTTTATACTGGATAAGGCCCAATCTGGCACAAATGGACCAAGTATGGACTCATTCCAGTGCACCCACATAACTCATCTGAAATGGCTCGTCCCAGCTTCTGCAGATCTTATAAAAACTGATCTTAACCTCTGTTCAATCTCAGAAGGCATTAAGAGTTAAGACTAAACAAAGTTTAGTGCAGAAACCCTTTAAAGAAGGAAATATTATGGCAGGAGATGAGTACCGGTTTAATGTTTTGCAAGCGGTAGGGTACATTTTACTAAAAGCTTATGATCTCAAAACCCAGAGTCACTTTAACACTTTAAAATCTTTCTGGCTCATTTTATCAGTGGCAGTATATCTCATTTTGGAGCAAAATTCTCTCCTCCTCCATCAAGCTTTATTTTCCCTGCCCTCCCTCTCATCCTCTGTTCCACCTCATCGCTCACAGGCCCGCCCACTCTCTTATGTCTCTTTTGATTTCTCAGAACCTTCAGCTGGTGGAGTGCTGGGCCCAACCCTGGGCCTCTGGAAGTCCAGCTCCCTGGAGAGTCTCCAGACGGCTGTGTCAGAGGCCGAGCAGCGTCGCATACAAGCCCAGGTCCCCTTTCACCGCCCGCGGACGCACATGGTCCGGGGTCGGGGATGCAATGAGAGTTTCCGCAATGCCATCGACAAATCCTATGATGGACCTTCTGAAGATGGTAAGACTTTGACATTAGCATTTTTAAAACGTGGGTTCAGACTTTCCCGTATCTAAAGAGATGTAAAATTGTCAGCTGTAGAACTTTAAAGAATGTCACTGTTGCTATAATATAGGATTCATATAATATTGGACAATGCATCCATTTTAAATTACACTGCCAATGCACATCCCTTAGGCTTTATAAAACACTGGCACTCAAGAAGAGCCTGAGGCCTGCCAAGGGACAGTGCTTAGCCTAAGTACCTTAATGAAATGCTACATGATTTTATCCACTCAGCAATTTAGGGAGAGCAACTTTATATCTTACAGCAGCATATTTTTTAATGCTCTACCTTGTGAACCCACAGCCATGTTGGATGTTGAATGTGTGTGTGTCTGTGATTACTGACGAAAATGATCCTCCATGTGAGCGGAAATGAGTTCACGCAGAATGTTGACTTATGATGATTAGAAAAATCTGGAGTGTGAACAATAACCTGTCTAGAGTTTTGTTAGGTGAGAGGTAAGACTATGTCAGTGTTTAGTGACAATAATACTGTTAAATTTAGCGTAGTTCTGCGTTTTAAGCGAATACTATATCTGTGTTCTAATAACTGAAATCAAACATACCTATTTAGGCTTTCTCTTGCATTGGCCTTTGCATGTAGGTAAAAATTCAACATAGGCAAGTGGATTTGACTGCCAGTAGAACTGATGCAGGTGTCGAGACTTGCCTCTGGCCACCCCCCTGCACTGGGGAAAAAGGCTGCCTAATGGAAAACTAACCAGCTTACTGAACAGATGTCTCAACAGCACAGTGGCATGTACATGCATACTGAATGAAATGATAAATGTAATACATGTCGTTCATTTATGAGTATGTATTCTAGCTGTGCATCCACTGCGAGCTCTGCCATCACACCCTTGTGTCTTACCACATGAACTGTTCATCCTCCTCAGAAGGGGATCTGTCAGAGGAGAGCTCCGGTCATGAAACACCCGCAAGCAACTCCTCTCGCCATGGTTTGGACGCAGAGGATGGGAAGAAGAAGAAGAAAACCAAAGCAAAGAAGAAAGAGAAGAAGACCAAAGGGAAGAAGAAAACAGATGATTCTGTGGAGGATCTGGAGAAGAAGACCAAAAAGAAAGGATTTGGCCTTTTAAGGTAGGAGACCTGAATGTCCTTGATACTTTAACCTCCCTAAAGGTCACCTGTCGTGTGTCAGCAATATCACACATTTAGGTTTTTACTCCAAAAAACATTTTGCCGTTTGTGAGTTTTCTTTAGTTTAAACTTTTGTGCATCAAGGTGACTCTTTGTGATTGGTTAGTCGATGATAAATTAAGCAAAGCAGCTCCAAAGACTGCCGTGCCAGTACCTTGATTCTCTAAACTGAAAAGGTCACCCGCTTAACAAGAAAAATGTGACCTAAAGCAGAGCAGGGAATGAGGCTTATGTTTCATCACTACTCCCAAGCCCCAAGGTCTTTCTGGAAAATCAACAAAAACTGTGATTACTTTTGCTTTTGTATTCTGAACTGAGACTTTCAGAGGAGAATTGGTACTATTGGTTATTTTACTATCATGGTGTTTTAAGATTGGTCAGATTCAGGTTGGGTCAGCTGGTTTTAGAACTCACATTTTTCTAGCGGTGAATGAAACCAAATATCAGATGCATCCCTCCTGTAAACAGAATTTAGGTTTTATGTAGAAAACTGATGGGCAACAGCCTCACCTTGCCCTCCTTTCCCCTGGTTACATTTCAGCAAATTACCCACCGAGCACAGTTTATGGGATGTTGGATTATTGGATATTGGATATGAACACAACCTTCTCTGTAATGGAGTATATCCATTATCTCTCAATCCAAGTCTAAGTCCCACGGACACTGTACCGACCAAAACCGCTTGTCACCCCTTTATCAACATGTCCCCATCGTGATTGTGGTGGTCCAATCCTCCACCGGCAATCCTTATCTATTGGCATTGACACGATGTGGTTAGTGTATCACTGCACTTCCAACACTTGAGATTCAATTAGGCTGTGGAGAGAGATAGCGCAGGCTGAGCGTTGGCCTACAGATGGCAGATAAGAATCCAATCGGCCACAGTGTCAAGGGCAGTAATGGAAGACATGTTCACATGGTGTGGCTGGTAGTGCAGAGTAGGGCAGGGACAAGAAGGGCGAAATGAAGGACACATACTGTAGAGTTACATCCAGGAGCACATGTGCCAGAAAGGTAAGTGTGTAAACTCCAGTTCACCTGGTGCTTGTTTTCCAACCCATAAAATGTACTCGTCTTGTGACTAGTTCCATTTATTACACACATCAAGCTTCTGCTGTTTCTCTGCAGCAGAAACAGGCAAATATGTAGGAGCTGACACTGCTAGCTGTGTGACAGATTGTGTTTATATGTTTGCAAGGAAATCTCTGCATCTGTACTCCACAAGCACACAGTACCATTTCCTGTTTTTTTTTTTCATTTCTCTGTTTATATGTTAGAGCTGGGATTTATTCTCCTCTCCCTCTCTATGAGGGTCGTGCCTGCTCTGATTGATTGCGAAAGCGTTACTTACTTGTACAATGATCAAAGAAACTTAATTTAACAGTTGTCTTTGTTAGGCCTGCTCTCAAAAGATTGATGAGGAGCTGCTAATTTGAGTATCAGGTGGGGTTTTTTCCAGGGTTATTGTACACAGCATGACAGCACAGTGTGCTACACAGAATTTATTTATTTATTTATAAACATTTTTTGTCTGTAAATGACCTCACCGTAAACCTATCTATGCACTATTTGACACAAATGTGAATGCTGGCACACCTATGCATGTAGTTACACACACACACCCCTTCTCCACTTTCTCATTGCAAATTCAATGCCTTTTGAATTGGCAACAATAGCCAGAAACACTCAAAACCAGCCCACCATTCATTCCAAGCACAGACGCTGAGTGCTTCTCTAACTCAACAATAGAACCGAGCCTTGTAAAAAGCTTCCAGATTGTTGCACCACACTCTAGCCTTTCTCTCCCTGGCCTTTATCTGGCTGCCTTGATCGTTATTGAACTTGAAATATGACTTAATTAGCTGGAGTATTGCACGGTTCAATCTAATTGCAGCTCTCAAATGTTATTTTACTCCAATGGCAACATTAGGAAAAGGGCAAATTATAAACATATGACCTCAATTTAACTCTGCAATGATAGTGTGCGCAACAGAAGCTAGCACAACAAATATTGGAATTGGGCCCTGTCCTTTCAGCGGCCATAAATATTTAGTTTAGCTGTGCCAGTATTTGAAGAACAAGTTGTTTTTGGCGGCAGTACGTTGCAAACAGCTGGGTATAAGGTGACCTCTGGAGATCACATATTTGTTGTGGGAACATTAGTTTTTTTGCTCAATCCATTTGTGATCCTCTTTATATGAAGAGCATCATTTCCTAGCTCTACATACAGTATATCCTACCACAGCACAACTGGTGTGATTTTTTTTAAAGCAATGTGGAGATTGTTTCGTTGTGTTACATTATTCCCCCTGATGGTATAATGGAAGTTTAAGGTCAAAAATTAGGGATAGGTGATGTAGGAGGGATGGATGTATGTGAATAAAAGATCAAAGTTCCTGACACCCATACTATTTATTAATTTATCAAACTTGCTACACTTGCTACAATCAGGGTGCTATGATTTATGCTCTGGTTGTAATTCAGATGTGACTTGAAGTAGGGCTGGGCAATTGTTAGATATTATCCTCTATACACTTTTAGTGCAATTGCACCATGATGATATGATTATGTTGTGTTATTGTTTTACTAAATTAAGCAATGATCCCAAGCAACCTGCAATTTACATCTAACAAAATGAAGTAGTTAGGCTTTTGTTGTTTGCATGAAAAGAGTTTGTTCTGGTGTAATTCCTAATAGTGAACACATTGTGATGTGGAAAAATGCTTGCATTAATATTCTGATAAAACTTGTGAAAGTGCTTTAAGTCCTTGAAATGAAATGACAATCAGGTAAACTCTCTCTGCTGATGAAGATCATGTGATGATTGAAATTACCAGAGCAGAAATTACCAGAACAGCTATCAGTTATACCTTGTGGGAATGGTGTTTTCCCAATTGTGATACTAATTCACACACAAATGTTTTTGTGGCTTGTGGAAATAAGACCATCATCAAATTATACACAGTGTTACTTATGGCTTACAAGTGCTGCATCTTTTGATTTAAGATGTGACTAGTGTCTGAGCGTCCATGTTTTAATTGTGGGCAAGTGATCAGTTGTGTAGAATTTGTTGGTTGTTGGATATTTCATTTTAGGAATTATGTTTTTAGTGAATTAATCAGGATTTGGTTGGGCTGTGCTGTTCTCTCACTCTGCATGTGTTCCTGTTGCTCTGGAGTCAGATGGCCTGAGATTGTGGCTTTTCCTCTTTTTCATCACCAAGCTCTCAAAGCCCCATTCGCATCTCGTCCCCCTGTTTGCTAAATAAGCCAAGACAAATGGCAGTGCCCTTCAGACTTTCCTCAGTAGAGGTTGACTGCTTGTCTTGTCGGTATTCAGCAGACAGCAGTCAAGTCTTTGCCTGGAACGTAGCCTCGGGGCCGCGCCACTGACAGACCGCAGAAAGACTAACACTTGAGCTCAGGCTGCTCTGCTGTTTTCTCTCAGTACCGCTGCCACATCCGCATACTCCTTTAGAACAAAGAGGATAACCTGGTCAGGGGTTTCAGATGTCTTTATCAAACAAGGACATTTACATTAAACTCTGTGATTTTAGTTAAACCTTTGCCAACAATATTATTTAATCTAAAAAGTAAAGGCTAGGGTTTCCTGTGCTCTATACCACAAAGTGATATTTTTACAAGTTTCTCATCCTTGAGAAGTTGATCGTGGCAGCTTATGCTTGAGCTGTTTTTGTGTGAGGATTAGACATATTATGGTTTGATCCAACATGACTTAATCAGGAGGTCAGGGTTTGAAGGATATAGCTTGTGACTAACATCCTCTGATTGTGTCACCAAGTAAGTATCACTCCCGAGTGACATTCGACATGCCTTTGAACAGTGAAGTAGCGCGTGTGTCGACGTTGTTTATTCTGCTTGCAGATGCACGTGACTCTGGCTTGAGTGTGTGCCACCAATCACTGGGTGTGTCATCACTCAACTGCCCCACCAGCCCTGCTGGGCACTGACACATCCCGTCTGTCCCTGCGTGCCGTCAGTCACTCAGTCAGGATCAATGTTTAGCTGTCGTTATCAGCACGCGTCCCACTGTGACAGTGCACCGACACCCCAGCACCACCAAATTAAGGGACATGAAAGCCGGCGTTTTGATCCGCTGTTTACAAATCCACATACAACACGATATATCCTCTCCCCCACTTCTCTGTTTGCAGCGCTGAAGAAATCCGACAAGGAAGCAAGCCAATTAGTGCCGTCCGTTCCGCTCTTATCCTATCGCAGAGCAGCAGGATGTTCAGGGTTGAAAGGTAGTCACTAGTGGGCTGTACTCCACAGAACCAAGCCTTGTTGTCAAACTGGATGGGCCCACTGCAAGATCATTTCTGATGGATTACTGCTGTTATTGAGCACTCCGCCTCCTCATTTGATGTCCATGAGCCATTGCTCCCTTCCTACTTCCTTCCATCTTTACTTCTTTTCTTCTCGACCTCAATTGTCCTTCTGCTGTCCTTCTTGTCATCTCTCCACTCTGGCCTCTATATTCTATACTGTTTTTTTCATAATCCGTCTCCATTTCCTTGAATGAGCTATTGATTAAACCAGGCTACGTTAGGGAAAATGAGCCCTTATGTACTGCTTCAACTCACACAAGTTCATGATTTTCTACAATTAAGTGTACAAAGTGTGTTTTGTCTTTGTGAGGTCTGTATCGTTGGTTCTGTTGGCAAAATGGAGTACCTTGTGACTTTAAACACATGACACCCGGAATAACATAAAGAAAGGAAAGGAAGGATGGAAGGAAGGATCAACTACTATTTGAATGGGCCCCAGTTGTCAAAAGTGTTGGTAGGCATACCCAAATCCCTCTGACATGTTTGTGTGGGTGTCTTAACGGTGACTCTAAGCTGTGATGGGGGTAAATTGGAGGTGCATTACTTAATCCCACCGTTGGTTAATGCACTGAAGGTGGATTTCTTTGAT